AATCAGAAAAACACCAAAACAGACTGAAAAAAGATAAAAAGAAAAAAAAACAGGATAAAGGGAATGAACAAGAGACAGACGAGTAGATAACAGTAAAATGACAAGATCAAAACTAATCATATCAATAATTAAATTAAATGTAAGTAGCCTAACCACCACAATTAAAAGGTAGACACTCAACCTAGATTAAACAGCAACACCCAGTTAGACACTGCTGACAATAATGCACTTTAAATACAAAGATGCAAAAAGGCAGAATATGCCATCACTAAGAAACCAGCAAGAGAAAGCCAGAGAGGTGACCAATACTGGCAACAGTACATTTCAGAGCACACACTATTACCAAGAAGGTACCTTATAATAATAAAGAGATCCATTCATCAAGGGAAAATAATAAGCCTACACATGTGTGTACTAATAAAAGAGCTGCAAAAGAAATGAAGACAAGCCAGCCAGAACTGCCAGGAGAAACAGATGGGTCCACAATTATAATCAGAGACCTTGACATCACTCTTTCAATAGTTGACAGAACAACAAGCAAAAAGTCAGGAGAAGGACTACACGATCAGCCAACTTGACCTAATTCACCTGGATAAACACTTCCACTCTAAGAGCGGAAGGCCCCTTCTTTTCAGGAGCACTTGAACTAACTATGTACTAAGACCACTTCACACTAAACCATAAAAGAAAGCTCAGATTATTTAGGAATTTCATAATTCTAACTGTGTTATAGGATTATAATTGAATTAAACTAGAAATCAGCACCAAAAAGTCATCTGAAAAATATCACTTACAAAAGCATCCAACACCATGAAATTACATAGAGATGGAACGGAACAGGCCAAGAAAAACCTGCACATGACAAGCTCAGAGCACTGCAGAGAGAGATCCAGGGCAACCTCCGTACAGGGAGATAGAATTATGCCTTGTTCACAAGCTGGGAGACTCAGCGGTGTTGGGAACGCACTTCTCTCCCAAATTAATCCACAGAATCAGCAACCTCAGTCAAAATCCCACAGGACTCTTTGTACAAACTGGCAAGCCGATTCTAAAATTCATATGGAGACGTAATGGACCTAGAAAAGCGAAAATACATTGACAATGGAAAGGGAGGGGCTGCTTCATTTCACCAATTATGCTAAAGCTGCAGTAATCACAACAGTGCAGTGCTGGATAAACTACAAGACAGACAGACCAACAAGACAGAACAAAGTCCAGAAACAGATGCAGAAACACACCAATTTTTGAAAAATATACGAAGGCAATTCAGTGTAGAAAGGGTAGTCTCTTCAACAAATGGTTCTGGAACAACTGGGTGTTCATGGGGGAAATAAAGAATAAAAAGCTTGTACAATGAACAAAAATCCTGCTCAATCCTGAACCAAAAGTTATGAAGTTACTAAAAGAAAATAGAGTAGAAAATCTTTGTGAATTTGGGACAAAGATTTCTTAGCTACGATACCTGATCTGGTTTGGCAGTGTCCTCACCCAAACAGCATCTTGAATTGTAGCTCCCATAATTCTCATGTGTTGTGGGAGGGACCCAGTGGGAGATAACTAAATCATGGGGGCGGTATCCCCCATACTGTTCTTGTGGTAGTAAGTCTCACAAGATCTGATTTTATAAGTGTTTTCCCTTTTGCTTGGCTCTCATTCTCTCTTGTCTGCCACCACGTAAGATGTGCCTTTTGCATTCCGCCATGATTGTGAGGCCTCCTCAGCCATGTGGAACTGAGTCCATTAAACCTCTTTTTCTTTATAAATTACCCAGTCTCGGGTATGTCTTTATCAGCAGCGTGAAAACAGACTAATACCCAAAGCATCATATATAAGAGAAAAATTTGAAAAATTGGACTTTATAATAAAAAACTTCTCTTCAAAACACCTGATGAAGACAATGAAAAGACAAGACACAGATTGGGAGAAAATATTTGGAAAGCAGATAATCTGATAAAGGCCTTGTATCCAGAACATATAAAGAACTCTCCCAAACTCAACAATAAGAAAAATGATCCGATTTAAAAATGCACAAAAAAACAGGTGCTTTACCAAAGAAGATCTATGGATGACAGGTGAGCTGAATGAAAAGATGTTCAACGTCATTAGTCATTTGTGGGGGAAAAAAAAGGCCACAGTGAGACACCACTGCAAACCTTTTAGAAGGTCTAAATGAAAACTTTAAAAAAATTAGCCAGGTGTGGTGACATGTACCTGTAGTCCCAGCTACTCAGGAGGCTGAGGTGGGAGGATCATTTGGAGCTCAGGAGTCAGAGGCTGCAGGGAGCTATGATCCCACCACTGCACTCCAGCCTGGGTGACAGAGCAATACCCTGTCTCTAAAAGGAATGTTTGGCTGGGTATGGTGGCTCACTCCTGTAATCCCAGCACTTTGGGAGGCTGAGGCGGGTGGATAACAAGGTCAGGAGTTCAAGACCAGTCTGGCCAAGATGGTGAAACCCCATCTTTACTAAAAATACAAAATAAATTAGCCAGGCATGGTGGTGGCCGCCTGTAATCCCAACTACTCGGGAGGCTGAGGCAGAGAACTGCTTGAACCTGGGAGGCAGAGGCTGCAGTGAGCGGAGATCGTGCCACTGCACTCCAGCCTCGGTGACAGAGCGAGACTCCGTCTCAAACAAAAAAGTTAAAAAACTAATAATAAAGGGACTAAGTAAAAAGACTGTGCCACATGCTGGTGAGGAGAAGCTGTATCTCAACCACTCAGGAAGATGGGCAACCTCGGAACACATGACACATGCGACCACCAGCCACTACACACTGGGTGTTTACCCAAGAGAAAATGAAGATTTCCACACAGGACTTTATTTATGATATACAGCAATTTCATTCAGAAGAGCCAAAAGCCAGAAAAACTCCAAGTGTCCATCACAAAGGAACGTATAAACTGTGATGTCTCCATATGACAGAACACAACTCAGCAGTG